TTTAATATCGTTGCTCTTCTCACATAGCCGAGAAATTTGAACTGAACAATGATTGTGCCCTTATGGGTTTGCAATGGTGAAGCCAACTTTTGGCGGGTCAGCCAAATTATTGCCGCGGGTCATAGGTTACCGACCACTGGCTTAGACAGTGCTTATAACTTCCTCTAGAAAGGCATCTTTTTACAAGTGAAACTTTGAGGGATCAACTAAGGCAAATGAGGAGAAGACTTGTGAATTTTGAAAACAGGTCTTCCTTGGACTTATTATGACATCACAAACAGCTTTGGCATCTTGCTCTAAATTTTCCAGTGAATCACGTCGGGCTTGTTTTCTGAACTGAGTATTGCCTTTGTCATTAGCCAAATCGTCTGGTAAATATTTGTGCAAGTTTGCGCGAATGTTAAGTATCTCTACTTCAAAGTGTTACAATGCATCTGTAACTTTTACTCTATTTGAGCTACATGCTTCAACACATCGTAGAAAAAAGCTAACAAGTGATTAATTGTGTTGACATTAAGCCAATTCTAAAGGCCACTTACCTCACTTATACTGTGATCATCCATTTTTTCATCATTCATAATTCTCTCTAATGCGTCAATCAGCTTCTCATTATTTTCAAGAACAGAGCTAACAATTCTTCCATGAAAAATCCATCTAGTGTCAACTGAATTTGGAATAGTGTGTCCACAAACTTCATGCAAGATGTCACTGCACTTGGGAGAACTTAAAAAATGTTCTAAGTTTGGAAATGATAGCAAAGAAAATTCGTATTTGTTTGATTGAAGAGCAAACTTTCTTTAAAATTAAGTTCAGTTGATGAGCGTAGCAGTGCACGTGAATTGCATAAGGATAATGTTCTTTCATAAGCTCTTGCACTACTCCTTGACCTCTACTCATAGCAGCAGCAGCACCATCGTACGCTTAAGCTTTCCCACAACTTTATACTGCTGCAAATGCTCGGCAGGACAGTGCATAGCCTAGTTACAGTTCTGTCACTAACTTCGACAAATGAGGTGAATCTTTCAATCGATTGGCTGCCTTTTACATCCTGCAAAATAACTACAAACTGGGACCAGCATGAAATGTCAGTAGTTTTATCTGCTTGAACTGATACGTAACTTACATTAGAAATTTCATCTTTAATTTCATTCTGATAGATGTTAAGCATGCAATCGATCAGCTCATTCTGGATGGTCTTTGGTGTGTTTTTTGCATTAAAGGCATTTTTCAAGTTGTCTTCTAGAAGGCTACCTAGCTGAGCCATTTCCTCCAAATATTCTAAAAATATTCCACGATTATTTGATGCTGCCAATTTATCATGCCCTCTTAATACAAGTTCATGTGTCTCACAAAATAATATTGTTTCAATGATACTTTTTAATATGTGCCTATTTTTGTCTACTAATTCATTGTGCTTTTGGACTGACACAGGATAGCCTGAGTCTAATTGAGCCAAACATTTTATAAGAAACTAAATTATCAATATGCTTTAGGCTTTTTTGTGATTGCTGATTCTCTCTGATAAATGTTTGAGATCTGAGCAGCCAGTCTTTGTCCATAAGCTTTTGCCTTCAAAAAGCAAGCAGTAAAAGCAAAACAGTCTTTTTTTTTTCTTTGCTTATGGTAAGCCATGTTTTTTTTATCGAACAGTGAAGAGCAAATGATTTTTTCCTCCTTTATTATTTCGGCTCATAAAGAAATCTCTTGGTTGATGAGGGGGGGGGCTAAATTTTTAACAAACATCTTCTCCTCCATTTTCATTTGGGGAAAAAGGAGTTTTTGATAAATTTTCTACAGTATTCTTTGTGGCAAGGACAAATCTAACTTATGTCTTTTAATTTTCATTTAAAAACTTTATTTATCATATTTTGGGATTATAGTCTGTTCAGCTTAATCAATTGGTATCATAACTCAGGAAAATAATCACATAATCAAAATTAGTGGTTCTGGCTATTACTACTTTTGATTATTCCAAATATCAAAGTCTCATGAGAATAATCAATTAGTTGAATGTAATTAATTATAAAATTCCAATGATCCCTAACCTATACTTTCAAATGATTTTAGTTATCGATAAGACAGAGTCTTCTGTGTACTCTTCTTATAATTTTTATGATGTATTTTCTTGTTTAAATCTCTGAAGAGCAGTAGTAGGCTGCCCAGTTTGTTTGTGTGTATGTGCGTGCATGCGTGTGTGATGTTACACCAAAGTTTCAATCATCAGAAAAGATTTTTTTCATCTCTTTGTTTTAAACATTACATTCTTATTCAGTAACAAAACTTAATCCTTAGACCTTCCAACATTATAGTGATTGTCTCATACCTTTTGGAGTTGAATTCATTTTTACATTTTTGTTGTATACAATGCTATGTCTAAAATGTTCCTTGTCTTACTTAACATAACTTTATTCAAAGAAGTCTAAATAGGTTTAGGAAACAATATCTTAACTTTATGCAAAGAAGTCTACCTAGGCTTAGAAAGCAATATTTTAACATGTGTCAATTCTTACTTTTATCTTTGGTCATCAGAGTGTTTGTGAATGTGTGTAGAAGGAATTCAATACTGTAATCTTATGTTGTCTTGTTTTGAACTTGATTATTTTCTTGTATTTAGCTTCAGTTTGCATCTTCATTTCTACTTTGTGCTTTACAACATTTGAGCAGTCTTATATTTGTTACTTTAGAAATTTCTTGGCACTTTGTTTTGTTTCTCATGGATGGTGGTTCCTCCCAGTATGTGGGATACATCTTTTCCGTACTGACTGTGGAATTACTGTATACTAAAAGTTTGTATCGAGAAAAATAAACTGGTTTAATCAAGAAGGGACTTGTATCGCTGAAGTTCCACGGAAAGAAATTATATCGGAAATTAACAAACAAGCAGATACGCAACACAGTGTTCCTTATGGCAATTTTTTATTCCTTCTTCCATAAGTCCACCTGATTTGAATTATACTGTTATGACAGCAGAAGTTACATGATGCTGGGAGCATGCATGCTGGAGTTTCTCAAAGGATCATGAATTTGCCCACCAGCTCGAGTGTGATCTAGATGCCTTCTTTTTTAGTATATATAAGCCTGACAAAGAAAGCCAGGGGAGATAGATAATTGAGTCAAGCGAACAGTAGGCACCATAAGTAAAGTGTGTGAATCACTGTGATTTATAGCATGTGTTATAAAAGGTTGTTAAGTTTAAAGTGACTGTGGAAATTCTGTGTATTACTAAATTTTGTATCGAGAAAGGATAAGCTAGTTTTAATCAAGAAAGGACTTCGGAAATAATTTCTATGGGAAATTAACAAACAAGCAGATATGTAACAATACATTTTTAGTACTTAAATGAATTTCAAACAAGTACTTCTGAAATGTATTCTTTCTACCCCCCCATAACTGTAAGGAATATAATATATCATAGCTGCAAACCATGAAATCTTAATTATGCCAGGAAAGTAAGGCTTATGTATATTTTTTTGCAATCAGAATCTGATATCATGTGGTTATTGAAAGCATGAAAACAAATCAGTAAGGAAAGGCTTTTAGTAAAAATTTAAAACTGATGCTTCCTTTTCCTACATTTTTTTGTAGCTGGTTAAGTCACTTAGATTAGTTTTGCTCTGTTTGGACAACAAGAAACCATCAGCTGAGAACTGTTTTTTATCAACTTTTTATATAACAATTTAAGTCACCATAAAGTAAAAAAATACAAACAATCTAGGTAGCCCTATAAATTGTTTTGAAACAGAAGAAAAGCTTATATATATTTATAAATAAAATCTGCAGGGAAGATGTGCCTTGATCATTGACTTTATCTTTTCTTCTAGAATCATGTATGTGAACTTTCACCAGGACCTGTGTGTTAAAATATGAATTGATGATTGTTTCGTAGCTATATGTTTTAATCTAATTTGATATTTCCTTAGTTCTAGCACATAAGATAGGTAGATTACTGGTGTCTGTTATTACTTGAGCTCCTTTTCCACAACTGTGATTGACCCTTAAGTATTTTCTCCCTTTGGACTGTCGACCTTTACTTGTTTTGGAGACCCACTCTTGGAACTGAAATGACCTGGTGGATTGTGAATGTCATCCTGGTTTGTATGTTTTCCCTTCACTCCCCCACCCCCTCAACTGGTCTCCATTTATTCTTATTGGTGTTGACCGTAAGTGTGAGTATTCAGGCCTAGGTTGGTGGTGTTTGATTTGATAATCTGAATATAAAGGTTTCTTTCAGCAGCTGTTGGGGGCTCCTTATATTCTAGTTTATGTAAACTGTGGCACTTCATAATGCATTTCTAAGTAATCAGATTCAGTTCTGGAGACTTATTTTCTCATCTGAGTGTAGATATTTTAGCACAGTGTGATGTTTGAGATAAGCTTGTATTTAAATATTATGTTGCTAAAATAAATATTCTTTGTTATGTACTTGCCATCTTAACTTTTAAGTAGTTGAAGCCAATGTAGAAAGGATCCTTCATACATTTTTTATTATATATTACACTAAGTAAATAATGTTGTTGAATATAGTGAATATCATGATTAATTCATCAACTAAATATTATTGCTTTGCCAAGAGTGATCATACACCTTATGTAGCATGAACAGTTTAAATTCATCTTGATCCAAGGTTTGTTACACAAAAAAAAAATTTTTTAAATCTGTTTATTAACCTCCTTATTTCATCAAATTTTGTATTTATAATATTTTTTTGTTTTAATTTAATTTATATTTCCAGTTTGAAAAGCTTACCTTTTAAAATTTAGTCTCAGTTGTGTAATAGATGAAATGAAAAAGATATTTACGAGTTTCTTAAATTATGAAAGAAACTGCAGTTTAAAAAACAACTAGTAATTATTATATGAAAAACTCCCTCTTACTTAGATTACAGTCTCTAAAATACAGTAATTAAAATGTTGAAGAAAATAAATTGAGGAGGAGAGTCAAAGACAATGTATAATAAAACACAGTAATGGCGCATCCTGTTTCAAAATATATATAACTGATTTTGTTTATTAAGATTAAGTTAATTTCTTTTCACTTGTTATAAAATGAATTCTTGTATTGCAGGTTGTATATCTTCAGGAATTACAACCCCATTAGATGTTGCTAAAACTCGAATCATGTTAGCAGAGGTGTGTAAGTTTGTTTAATTGTAGTTTTTTTACAGAATAAAATATAATCAGTTTTAGTTGAAATTGTATATAAAACCATGAAGCAATATACATGTCACTTTCTGAATTTATTGGTTTACTTACTTGTTATATTCAAAACTAGGTGTATCGAAATGAAGTTTATGATCATACCTTTTTATCCCTTTATAAACCTGATAGATTATATGTTTATAAAATCAGTAGATCTCAATTTATATCTATAGTTTTCTTTTTGAATGGTTTTAGCTCTAAAAGTTATGGAAACAACAATTTCTGTTTCAACGACTGTGTTGAATCTTTGAACAAATGTTCCCATTAAAAAAAAAATTAATTTCTCCAGTGTCAACAGTTTTTTGGCTTAAAAAAGATAACATTTGTTTACCTCTCACCAACAGATGTTGCATTAAAGGAATCAAGTGATAATTAGACAGATAAAAAGAGCTCTGACACTTGATGTTCACAATGGCTCATTTGTTACTTACATGCTTTTCTTTCAGCTACTGTAAATGATGTAAAACGGTTATTGGAAGTTTAAAATAGATACATTTTATTGAAATATTCTAAACATTTGGTGAAATTTGAAACTACAGTAAACTGACAGTAAAACTGTTTACCAACTTAAGAAAAACTATGCACAAAAGGCAAAAAAATAATACGAATAGTGTTTTTACACAAGACACATAAAATATTGAATGAAAGTAGAACTATGTATTTAACTACGTATTTTCATTTCAACTCCTATCAAAACCCAGACTTTGACTGTTATTAAGAAATAGTTTTGAACAATATTTGTGCTAATAACCCAGTTTGTAAACATGAGATATGATGTATTGAATTTTTCACCATTTTTTTAAATCATCAATGATTATGGTAAGTAAAAATTGTCCACCATAGTGCAAGAGCTTATTTCATGAAAAATTTACTATGCTGTAATCCTTGACAGATTAATAAAACGTATATTATGCCTACTATGCTGTAATCCTTGACAGTTTAATAAAACGTATATTATGCCTACTATGCTGTAATCCTTGACAGTTTAATAAAATGTATATTATGCCATAACTATGATGTATACTGTATATATTTTGATTTTTAATAACTGAACTCGTCAAGAACACAAGATAATTAATTAACAGTCTTACTATTTTGTCTCACTGTGTATGTAAAATGATTTTCTTTCTTTGTGTCTTTATTGCAAAAAAGTCGCAAGATTTTGTTGCAGGATGAATGTCAACTTCTTCACACCATTTTTCAAATTAAAATCTTAAGATCTTTGATGTTTCATAGTTCTTTTCAGTTGATGTATTAATTAATTTTTAATTATTTTTTCAATGTGTTCTGTGCATAGCTATCTAAATTCCCTATAAACAAGTATAGGCTGCTAAAAAATGTTATTTATAGTATCATTAACATTAGAACCTTACTTAGATTGAGCGTGTTAGGATTTCTACATACAGTTAGACTACAACATTAGAACACAGTAGGTTTCAGAAAATATCTTGGGGTTAAATAACAAAAATACTAGTTCATTAGTTAAGTGATTTGCTGGTTAATAAAGTGTTTTCAATAGCAGAGATTTTATTGATATTTTGATTGTTAATTTTTCTTCCAGAAAGGGAGCTCTACCTCTAAAGGCCATATTTTACCAGTATTAAGGGACGTATGGAGAGAAAAAGGCCTCAGAGGGTAAGTCGGGTATTATTAGAAGAGCAAGATATATGAGGAGTTGTGATTACTTTAGTAAATTTGGCCAGTATTAAGATTTTAGGCTCATCAAGATAACATAGATGTTTAAAGTTTATTAAATTTCACAGAAGAACTAAATAAAATGGAGAAGTACCAGCTTCTTCCGTGATAGGAGTCTGCACTCTAAATTTCATAGGCACATGTAATGTAGTATTTAGGAAGTAAACCATGGACTAGGTGTTATAAATACAAAATAAAACTGATTTCTACAGCATTCATCCATTTATTAATACTTTAATAGCCTCTTGGAATACAGAATTCTTGAAACTTCTTTTCTTGTTTTAATTTTTTAATACAGATTTTATTGAGGGGTGGCTTGCTGTAGTCTCTCCTACTGCCGCCACACATCATGAAAAATTCTTTTTTTTTTTGTATATCTGAACAATGTTGAATATCTTTCTTAATGCCATCTGTTAAAACTAACATTATTAAAGTTGTTTTTTAATTTGATAACATAATAATTTTGTATTTTTCAATTTTGTTAGTCAAACATAACCAAGATTTTTTTTCTTTTGCCTGTAGATTGTTTTCCAAGGTACCTTACTTTTGCTCACATAAATAGCTATTCTTAGTCAGTGTTACCCTCTATTTGCAAAAAATGTTTTTGCATGTCACAAGCCTTTCACTCCCACACACACCTCAGTTCACATGGTTTAACTGATTTTTGCATGCTAATTATTATGCAACAAACCTCCAACTATAGTAGTGCCACACACCCATGTGACTCCCTCTATTGTTATTCTGCCTAAATATCACTTCTCATTTGACTGTGCTCGTGTTCAAACATTTAGTTTGTGCTCTCTTTAAGTTTTTTTTTTTTTTTCATTTCTCTCAACAGTATTAATATTTGCAACTAATTCCACTTTGGAATTATTTTCTATTTTTACTCAGTTACGGAACTTAATACTTCATTACACAATTTTTCTACTTTTTATTTCTTTCTGCCGACACGGTTGTGTTTGGTTATTCATTTTAAATTATGAATTTCTAATTCTAAGTTACCACTTTGGAGGTTATATCTTCTATCAGCACATTTACACAGGCTTCAGGTGGCAGTCCTTGACAAGGGAATTATTGGCTTTACTTCATCAGGAGATTAATTGTCCAATGGGCTGACCTTCATTGGGCCTTGACTTGAGTTTGGAGGCCCACTGACTTTGGAAAGATGAGATGTTATGGTTTTTGAATATTTTTACTGTTAATATCATTATCTGTACTTATGTGAGCTCAATAACATAACTTTAGTTAGATTGGTCAATACTTATAGTGAAGTTCAGGTTTGAAATTAGAGCTTATTTGTAATCTTTGTCCTTTAACATTAGATTAGGCTTAACATGGGTCTTTGTTATTTTAGGATTAATTGCAATTGATCTTACTGGTATATCATAAATTAGGCTAATTATATTGCATTTTCTTCAAAACATCACATTTAATACATATGTTCTTGTCAATACGCACTTACTTAACTTTATAACATCTATTTCATTTTCGTTATTATTTATCTTTTATACTTCTCATATTACTTTTGTTTGTGTGGACCCCTGAAGCCAAGGTCTGCACAAACTTCTTCTCCTGATATTGTACGTACTTATTGTTAGGTTAGGGTGTTTTAAATTAAAGTGTAGTAATATACTATGTCCAGCACAGTTCGATTACGCTTAATGAGTGTCTGTTATTTTTAGTTTAGCTGTAGTTCATTTATGGGTAAATTGATAATTAGGTTAAGTATCTTGTTTTTTTCAACACTAAGCATCTAATAAACATGTTTATTTCACTACACACTCAAATTTACATTATATTGACAATTTCATTTTCATAATTCTTTATAATTTATACTTCTTACAATTAATTTAGTTTGTGTGGACCCCTGGGGGCCTTGGTCTGCCCTACCTTCTCCCAATATTGTTCACCTTCCTCCTACAATTGCCAAATCCATTTAGGACAACCCAGATTTTGTCAGTTTTCCTCCTCCTGATTATGGGTTGCCTTTTCAGGCTTCTACTGCAGAATCTGTTAGGCCTACACCTCAACCTTTTTTTGACACATTTCACAGTATAATTTTCATCTCCTTCTCCAGACATTGTTTCATGCTGAGAATTTTTTCTCCCTTTAAGGAGAGAGTTCTTGCATATCTCACCCTCCACAGGCTTTGGTTTGTTTTGCTTTAGCTCACCATTAGGCAGATTTTCGTCCCCACTTCAATCACTTTTGGCTCTTCCCAATTTTAATATATATATATAGTCTTTCATCACAATCACATTGACAATTTCTGCAGGACTGAGAATGCCCTATCTTAGGTTTTTCACCACGTAATTTGGTACCAGTTTTGTGCCTTGTCCTTCGTACATATTTCAGTTCCGAATATATTTTGTCAGATGGTCTGCTTTCTACCTGACTTCCTCACTTTGGGGTTTTTTTACTAACACCACTACTTGGACATCTGGCCTTGGTTAGCTCCTACCAAATGAGGTGGTCATAACATACTCATTTGCTTCTTACACAAGCAACTTGGGTGGTTAGATTTTCCAGTTGGATAAGTTTTTTCTGTTACCTACCTAACAATAGTCTATTTGGGGAGTGTCTTTTTACACATCCACTTACGTTGATACTGTCCATTCTCCTCCTCAAATGCATTCCTTAGAGCTTTCTGTTATCCACACCATTACTGTTAACTATCTTACTGCTAGTGAGTTTAAAATGCATTGGGGGATGTAGCTTCTATGGAAGCACTTTTCCCTTTAGGTCTGGCACATTTGTGATCTTTTCAGGAGACGCTGCACAACCTATGGTAGGGTTCCTTTGGATTCTCCTCATAACTTTCCTCCTTCCCTCTTTAACTATATGTGTTGGTGGTTGAACATATCCCCCACATTGTCAGGTTTACCAATTCCTTCACTTCATCCAGATTTGTTTTTCTTTCTTGATGTTCATCTCCAAAATTGGGGGAGGGGAGGGGGGTCAACCAGCAGGAAACTTTGGGACAATGGTCTATGGACAAAAGGTCTTACCTTGTTAATGCCCTGGCACTTCCAGCAGTCCAGTGTGCTTTACTTCACTTTCTTCCTCATCTGGATTTGACTAATCATATTTCATTCTGACTATTTGATGGTGGTGGCTTATTTCACTCACCAAGGAGGCACTCGTTCTTGTTCCCTTTGTAGTAGACAGTGTATCTCCCCTTTTTGAACCCACATATTTGACATACATCTCTCGGCGTGTCCTGTTCCAGGTGCTTTTCTCCTCGTTACAGATTGCCTTTCTAGTTCCGACACATTCTTTCTCAAAGAGTGGCCTTTCAATCCTCAAATTTCCAGTGGCTTTGTCTTCTGTGGAGTGCTCCTTCCCAGGAAACATTTGACTCCTTTCTCAATTCCAAGTTACCTCTTTTTGTTTTTGGTCTCCAGTTTATCATCCACTCACTCTCCCTGTCAATATGTTCAGACAGGATTAGATCCAGTTTATAACATTAGTTTTCTCATTCTGTCAGACTTATTCCTAAGGTGATTTTGATCATCCACGTCACTCTGGGTCAGGTCTTTCTAATTGATCCTTCCTGGCCATCACCGATCTGGCTTTCTTGGCTGTTTTGGCTCAATATGATCTTTTTGTTCTGGATAGATTTTACTAACCTACACTTTGGTGGCTTATTTGAAATATTCTTTTCATCAGTTCGTTTCTTGCAATCTTCCACCTTTATTCTCAGTTGGTTCTGGATGACTTTCCCTGTTCCATGCATGGTTTGGTTCCTTCATTGCTTTCAAGGCTTCTTTCCATTGACTCTATTTCTTGCAGTTTCATTCCCTTACACCATTCCTCTGTTTGTCATTTTTTTTCCTCTTCCTCGTTTACCCATTAGTTTCAGCTTGTGATTCAATTGGCCTTGCTCTGTGGCGAGTGTTGCCTGTTCAGGTGTACTTCAGTCACTTTAGAATTGTAATAAAACATCACTGTAATGCCATGTTAACATTATTTTTGTAATTTCCATGGCCACAAAACACACACTGTTCTTTACAATAAAATAAACTAGAGATTGGGTGTTCCACAAGATCACTTATAGGTTATTCCCCACAATATATTTGCTTCATAAGTACTAACCCATAGATTTCATGGGTATAGCAGAAGGGTGGATTGCTTCCCATCCCTGCCATTCTTTAGATTGAATAAATCATGTTTGGTCTGTTTTTCAAAATAGGGTTTCATGGTCGCTCATTGCACTGTCTCTGGTGTGAACGTTCTTCTGGACTCTCCACCACATGCTTGTCCCCCCCCTCCAATTTCTTCTTGTAGAGTAAGAGAATCCTTACCACTTTCCAGTTCCAAGCTGCTGGGGTGATAGACCATGGAGGTATCCTTCTGAATGAGAGATATACAATATAAACCGTACAGACTCCATTCAGTTGAGAGTAGGGTGGTGGTGTTCTGCTGGTGTAGTTGACAAGATGCCCTCCAAATGGACATTCCATCTCTGCATGGGTTTGTCCATGGGGATTTTGCAGCTTTTTGAGTGCACTGTCATAATGATTGTGATCCATCATCCTACCCCTGCATGGAAGTCAGTTTCTGGCAGTTGAATTTTGGATTTAGAGCTGAACGAATTATCATATGTCCCCACACATGTTATGCAAATGGGATACCTCATCCTACACCCATATGGCTGTTGGTTGCTGGTGGTCAAGTTTTAGATGGAGTTGACTTGCCCTGTACATTCTGTTGTGTCGTAGCCACTCTACATCTGGGCACATCCCTTATTTTACCCACATTCTGTTCATTAGGGAGATTGCAATTATAATATATTTTGGTTAGGATCACTGTCCAACTATTTTCTTTCCCATTGGGATGTGCACCTCATAATTTTCAGCCTGGATTGGTCACACCTTTTCCACATTTGGGCAGAGAGTATATGTGGTACAGAAGTGGTGCGGCCTCCCACGTATAATCCTCTTATTAGAGGGTGTCCTTCAGATGCATCTACTTTCTCCCTTGCACCAGTCCCTCCACCTATTCAGTGTAGGATTCTAGCTACGTATGTGAATGGAACCTTGTCAGAAGTTATAATTTTCATACATACACTGAAGATCTATTTCTGACAGGTACTTACTTCTGCTCACACTTCCAACCCTTCATCCCCACTGTCAGCCATTGCATATGTTTCTAAAGTGATAGTTAAGTAGAATAGCTTAGTGGGAGTCACATATTGATGGAGGTTTGTCGCATGATAATTTGCATGTGAGAATCAGTTAAACCATGTGAATTGAGGGGTACATGGGAGTGAAATGTGAAAAAATTTTGCAAATAGAGGGCAGCACTGAATGAGAGTAGCTATGTACGTGAGTGGAAGTAAGTACTTGTCGGAAATACATTTTCAGTGTAGCAAAATTATAACTTATACATGTTATTCACTACCGAGAAACTATAATTTGCATAAAAGTTTTGTCTTGCATTAAAATCACAAATGTAACAGCCATAGAATTTGAAGTAAGAACTTATTATAAAAATGTGAAATGCTTTTATAGTTCCATTTCTTTTGAGTTCCTTTTACATCTTGCATCAGTCTATGTAATAAAAAAAGTAAATCTCCTCAGAAACTTTTAGGAGTAATTGCTGTACATACATACATGTATACATTCATTTTTAATATCAAAATGCTACAGAAAAGTTTTAGTATTTAATAAATGACCCTATAACACCCAATGTTTTTTTCTCCTTAATTGGATACTTGACATTTCAAGAATGTTCTACTAAAACTTTAACAGAGTGGAACACTCCTGAAGAAGCCCTAAAGGGAAATGTTGAGTGTCCAATTAAACAAAACTGGGTGTTATAGTCATGTATTACTAGTATTAAAGTCTTTTATACTACAGAAATTAACTAATAAGTATAAGCTTGTTTACAACTTGACAAAGTATTTTGTTTACAGACTATTTGCTGGAGCTGTTCCTCGGATCATGTGGATATCGGTGGGAGGAGCCATCTTCTTTGGAGTTTATGAGGAAACAAAGTCCATTTGGGCTTATTATTATCAAAGAATCCTAGGCTAAATGCCTCAGTACTAACTAAGTGTTTCAAATGTAGATATTTCATTGCTAGTTTTATTCAATGTTCTTCAAATATTGAACTTGTGTTAAAAACATTGTTTTATGTTTGTGTGACACTCATGAAATAAAGAGAAAAAATTAACAGGAGTTTGTAGGTCAATGATTGAAAAACGTTTGTATTGTTTTTATAGGAAATTTTTTTAATTGTTTGTAATCGTTCAGCATTCAATAAATCGTATGCAAGCACAAAAATGTTTGTGATTTTCACACAAGAAAAACAGTTTAGTTCGACAAAGGATGAAAGTTTAAGTTTGAAGTCCCAAGATAGTTCCTTATATTAGCTACAATGGATTGCAGTGTTCTTGGCACTTTTGATGACAAATCGTAACTTTCCTGGACAGCAATAAGTTTGCGGACTTACAATGCTAAACTCCAGGATTCAATTTCCTATGTGGCTTTGGTCAAAAACTTTCCTGGTCTGTTTTTCACCCTGCTTGATTTACTAACATAGTTCAACACTACAGATCTCCACTTTTTTCAATGCTTTAACTTTAAGCCTTGCATGCTTTTATAATTTTGAAAGATAAAGACTATTAATGCAAACCTGCCATAAGAGGCCAATTTTAGGCACCATTTGCATTTCCTGAATTGTGTCAAGAGGTTCAGTACTTTTAATCTGTGTATTCACATTTCTTCAGGATGAGCAAGGTGGTTGAATATTCAAATTGTTACTTAGGTTTTGGATAACTTTTTATAACTGTGATTGATAATCTGACGATAAACTGTTAAAAAATACATTTGGGTTAATATGAGGATTAATTCAAAAATGTTGTAAGAACATGAGTAAATTGTACAGAAATTGCCATGTTTTGGTGGTAACGTTGAACAATAAAGAAATTTGGTAGACCAATTTCTCATATAATACTTAGCATAAGTTTAGAGTTTAGTCTCTTTCTTCCTAAATTGCAGTGAAACTCAAAATATTTTTTAGTGCTGAGGAATACTTCTTCCTGAAGCAAGAATACTTTTGACAGGGTCATTCCATTTCGATCTTGATTTGTACTGTAAGAATGGTTTTCAACATGTTCATGACCTCTACGACACTGTACACTTAGTAAAAACAACAATAAATGTTCATCTGTTTCTTATGGCTTTTATTGTTTGAGGTCTGATCAATCATATTTAAATCTGTCAGCCAATGAAAGTGGTTAAAGTGAAAAAAACAAAATATCTTTATTATTCCTTTTGCTTGGCAGTTTCTTGTACTCCTTTGATTGGATTGTAATGTTTTTTCGATGATCTCTCTTTCTAATTGCTTTCTACAAACATCACACCTTGTGCTTACAACTGAAACTAGGGTAAACATCACTTTCAAACATTCTCCCACTGTATAATGGTTAGCTTAGCATTGAAAGCAGAAGTTAAAACTGTTTTTCAAATGAAGATTTCTCTGCAAAGTATACCTTATTATCATTATAAGGCTATTTTATTGATTTTGTATTGACTAAAACCACCAATTATTTCTATACTTCTGATTTTAGAGTTAATACATACCTCTTGTGGAAACAGCTGTATAACATGGTAAATGAAGAAAATAAAGCTGACAATATGTTATAAAAAATGTTCACCAGTACTGTAAGTTAGTAAAACAACAAATTTTTAATCAGCTCTTTGAGGGTGATCCAATTATTTGAAAAAATAAATTACATACAAAAATTCATACATTAAAGATTTTTTGTTTAATTATGGAAGACCAGGGACATGTGTGTGTGTGTGTGTGTGTGTGTGTGTGTGTGTATATATATATATATATATAACAACTTGAAATTTTATACACAACATTATTCATGCACACAAATGGTTTCATTTGCAGTTTTAATAAACTATAGTGCCATCTTTCACTGACAACATTTTAAACATGTGAAAGTAGCATCTTTATACAGCAGTAAACCATTAGGTTTTTTTTCTTTACAAAATGTGAAAACCAACATTTTTATTAATTTTGAATTTTTTTCCTGGTCTAAAATTTACTACTATAAATTAAACAGTTACTCTAAACAAAATAGCAGATTTCATTGTTACAGCTATAATGCCCTATCTCCAGAAGAAAATGGAGAGCATATTCACCAGCATATTGTGGCTTGAACCTTCCAATCATTAGACCACACTCAGCCTACCCTTAAATTGATCCCAGATGAAACTAGTGATATTCAACCAGCATAGAAATGATAACAATTTTACAAGTACTTCATACTCATATAATTAAAACTTTCATATAAGAAATGCATAAAATTAGGAAAAACATTTCAGCATGTAAAACAAAAAATCTTATATCTTACAATATATTAGTTGCTAATCTGTTGCAATTATAATAAGTCTACAGCACTTAATAATCATCCTCATCATTTTAACCTACACACTTAATAAGTTATCAGATATGTTTAACTGTATACTGATAAAAAAGGGTAGAAAAATATGTTGCATATGTTTGTTTGTTTTAATTTCATGTAAAGCTACATGAGGGCTATCTGGGCTAGCCATCCCTAATTTAGCAGTGCCAGACTAGAGGGAAGGCAGCTAGTCATCACTGCCAACTCTTGGGCTACTCTTTTACCAATGAATAGTTGGATTGACCATCACATTATAATGCCCCCACGGCTGAAAGGGCGAGCATGTTTGGTGGGACAGGGAATCGAACCCACAACCCTCAGATTGTGAGTCGAGCACCCTAATCACCTGGCCATGCATTGCATATGAGAAACTGTATTAAAATATGCTAACTCTAAATCTTCTAATATCGACAAATTAAAATTGTAATTTTGGAAAATGTTTTGTTTACATTCCATTACGGATGAGACACAGATATGGGTAAAACTTTATTATTTATCTGGAACGAAAAAGTTAAGTTATATTATGGTGACATTTTGTATAATTTGCATGAACATTAGTAAAGTTTTATATATATTTTGATGTATTCATGTATGTCTATATAACATAGTTAAGTGGAGCAGGGTAAAATTGTGTTAAATATCTCTGTGAAATAGATACTGTTGATTAGTTGTCTTCTCTATGTTATCACTTCAAGAACAGGGAATTTTGTGTGAAGATAGCCCATTACAAAACTGAAACAAAAAGGTTAGATAATATTATAATAGTTTTACAGTCTCGGCATATATCCCAGTATTTATTTAAACATCACAGTCTTTTCAAGCTACCTTAAAAGCAATCTATGGATCTTATCTTTAAGTGTTCACTTTTAAAAGACATTAGAGTTCTTAATATAAAGACTTTTACCACAATAATACTATTCACTCTTACATAGTTGTTTCTAATAAACAGCTGGAGGTCTTAGTCCTTACAAGTTGGTAAATATCACAAATCAGTCAACAAAGTTTTCTTAAACCATCACAGAGAAATCAGAAGGTAACAGATGAGCTAATAGTTTTAATTTAGAATTTAGGAACTAAATATATACATAAGAACTCTGTATGATAATTACAGTGAAATTTTTTCTCAAAAATAATATGGCAGACAAGAAATACATTAGTCCCTATAATAACACAGATGATTGGTATTCTAAAATAATAACTGTATCAGATATTTAAATGAAAATGATACGTGTTCAATATTAAACAGGCAGACAAGAAATCCTATGTAAATACATTAGTCCCTATAATAACACAGATGATTGGTATTCAAAAATAATAACTGTATCAAATATTTAAATGAAAATGATACGTGTTCAATATTAAACAGGCAGACAAGAAATCCTATGTAAATACATTAGTCCCTATAATAACACAGATGATTGGTATTCAAAAATAATAACTGTATCAATATTTAAATGAAAATGATACGTGTTCAATATTAAACAGGCAGACAAGAAATCCTATGTAAATACATTAGTCCCTATAATAACACAAATGATTGGTATTCAAAAATAATAACTGTATCAAATATTTAAATGAAAATTATATGTGTTCAACATTAAATATAGGTGCTAGAAAATGATGAAACAAACACTATGTGCTCCAAACAATCTCCACTGATACTAACTTACAGCAAGTACTAGTAGAATATCACCGCTGATGATATGTAAAGGCTGATAGAACGTACTACATCATGTTTATAAATCATTGAGAGTCTACCTACTATTGTATTAGCAAAATGTGATTCTTTACTCCAGTTTCTCAAGGCTGGTTACAAGATAATGCTGAATAACAATTTCAATTTCCAGTTTATTCAAATTAATTGTATTTAATATAGGTATAAGAAACAAAAACTGAAATGTTGATACCGCCCTAATCTTTTTTCTACACAAAGTGACTAGTTTTTTATCTTAAAGCTGCTATAAATAGGATTCTAATTCACATTTTTATAGCAAACAATAAGATTTTACCAATGTTATATCATTTAGTTCATCTGCACCGAAATCAACCATTTTTATCTATGATTTTATACAAACTCAAGTAAAGTATAATAGACTGTCAAGTCAGCAAACTTAACAAAAATATGTAATTTTCAAACAGGAACAATCGTAAATATACAAAAATCAAAGAAGAATGTTACAAAAGAAAAAACTAAAATTAACATAGGATCTAGTCCTCTTTATTCAATAAACAATAAAAAATATTTAAAAATACTTTCCCGATATAATTGAAATACAACTATATATTAAAAATGGAATTTACTAATTCCACAAGACACCCTCTTTAGTTGAAGAATGAGGTTTCATTTACTAATTCCACAAGATCAACCATTTTTATCTATGATTTTATACAAACTCAAGTAAAATATAATAGACTGTCAAGTCAGCAAACTTAACAAAAATATGTAATTTTCGAAACAGAAACAATCGTAAATATACAACAATCAAAGAAGAATGTTATAAAAGAAAACTAAAATTAACATAGGATCTAGTCCTCTTTATTCAATAAACAATATTTAAAAATACTTTCCCCATATAATTGAAATACAACTATACATTAAAAATGGAATTTACTAATTCCACAAGATACCCTCTTTAGTTGAAGAATGAGGTTTCATTTACTAATTCCACAAGATACCCTCTTTAGTTGAAGAATGAGGTTTCATTTACTAATTCCACAAGATACCCTCTTTAGTTGAAGAATGAGGTTTCATTTACTAATTCTACAATATACCCTCTTTAGTTGAAGAATGAGGTTTCATTTACTAATTCTACAAGATACCCTTTTTAGTCAGAGAATGAGGTTTCATTTACTTATTCCACAAGATACCCTCTTTAGTCAAAGAATGAGGTTTCATTTACTAATTCTACAAGATACCCTTTTTAGTCAGAGAATGAGGTTTCATTTACTAATTCCACAAGATACCCTCTTTAGTTGAAGAATGAGGTTTCAGTTACTAACAGCTTTTGTCACAACATTTTTAACATCTCTTCCTGTTTGCAGGCACTTTTCGCAAAGATAGATAAGGATTCAAATCATTCAAATTTGACTCCAAAATCTACTGTGACAAAATTTTAGTACAAGTAGTAAGGCAAACAAGTAAACTTTTTAAGTAAGAAAAAGATTTGTCACACAAGGATTAAGCAGTACATGTAGGTGTAATAATGATCAAGCATATGTATCACTCCCTGCAAAAAAAAACCCTCAAGATACATTGTAGCAACACCACAGAAGACTTGGTGTGACTAATCATGCATATTCTTCCAAAATATTATTATGATACACAGTTTAAGAGGTTTATGAAGAAAAACAAAACCACGCAAGGAAGAAGTACCACAATTAGCAACCTATGAGGATAAACATATTGCTTCGTGAAAAAATTTTTTTAATTAACTTTTTTTTGGCTGATTAAGTAAAACTAGAATCATTTTGAAAAAAAAAATATGTTAATGTAGCATTTTATAACATTATAAGTCATGTACATGATAAAAAACATTTTGTATCACCAAATCAAATATCCCCCATTACTTGTTTAATTGCAGTGTTTATTATATTTTGTAAGAAAATACTTTTGATATATTTGTGAGTTATCATTTCCCAACTACAAACTTTTGTTTCTCATAAAATTGTCACAACAATACATAATTTGATAAAAAAAAAAATATTAATAAGCTATTCAGCCAAAGAGTTGCTAGGATTTTTGTTTTTTATAATAAAAGTATACATTATAAATTTGTTCAATAACCACCATATTATTTCAATGTGGGTGCACGGTAATAATGTGGTGACGTAGTTATTTTGCCATGAAACGTTGAGCACGGACAAAATTGAGGAACACTTGTTCTAGAGTCGTCTGACCGATTGAATAGTCTACAATATTGTAGTGAACTTTAGCATTCTCCATAATTCCAAAGATTTCTGCCCAGGTTAGTTGGGTATCAGGAATGTGGTAATGTAGAAAACCTTGATGTGCCCTCTTTAAGATGCAGCCTTGAAATGTGTTCTCAATGAAACTCTTGACATCTTCTAAATTTTGATGAAAATTGGTTTCTGTCTTTTGTTGCCTCTGATGCTCTGCATCAGGCCTGTAAAGAGGGTTCACATGAGAACCCTCAGATTGAACTTCTGATGGTAGTATGGGATCTCTCTTAAAACGATGACAGCCGACTTTAGCAATTAATGTATAGCCTTGACCAAACTTATTTTTGAGATGTTGAGGACTTCCCAAACAACAAAATTTTCCATTCACCATGATAGCCAATCGGTTGCACAAGGCTTCACATTCCTCCATGCTATGAGAAAGGTCATTAATTTAAAATATTAAATCTATATACATATATATTTTACTTATATGAAGACACTGCTCAACTGAAACCACAAAATTTGATACTTCCAAATACTTTTGAATAGTTCTACCATTAACTGTCATGGAACATAAACCAAAAAATAAATAAAATAAAACAGGGGAAGAGTTCACTAACAGGTGAATAAACAATATTTTTTTGTTGCAACTTTTCTACTCCTTAAGTGGAATTATGTGAACTCAGCAGTTATTTATTCATACTATACAAATGTTCTGAAGATGTTTAACTTACCAAGCGCTTTCCTGAAAACACTTAAAACATTAGCTTTTCAATGCTTTACAGATATGTTGGCAAAACATTACACACTATATATCAACACTATTAAAACCTCTATAGATCCACAACACTTTAATATAAATAGTTAAGGAAGTTTGATTCAATTGGTTTTTTTTTCAATAAAAAGGGAAGAATATAATTCTACAGATAAAAGCTGAATATGATGTGTTTTTATGCACTTAAACTAACATAAAACTTACTATAATATATCTTGTTCTAACCTATTCTTAGAGTGGTTACCAAATATGAACATTTGTACCAACATCTGTGGGTGTGCAGGGAATGTTACTTTTCAAACAGGGTGGTTGGCTTTTGGAATGAGCTATCTTCAAGGGTGGTAGAGACAGAAAATTTAACTGAGTTCCAGAAAATATTAGATTAATACATGAGTAGTAAAGGGTGGTTATAGTTGGGAGCTGGAAGGGAAATCCTTGATGGGCAAATAAGCTCCTTTTTGTGCCTTTAAAATTTTATGAAATATTATTAGTTTATGCTGTTTGTGTGTGTGTGTGTGTGTGTGTGTCAGGCATACTGAGGGTCCAGGAGTAGGTTTTCAGGAGTACTAAACAAGAATCTGGCAAGAGATCTTGCATTCCTTGTCTGCCCGTCAGGATCTTGTGAGTGTCATGTTTGAAACTGTGTTCATACCCCAGCTTGCAAGTTAGTGGGACTAAATATGGCACATGTGTTAAGATACAATAACAAGCATTCTAATGGGTTTATTTTTGGATATAGAAGTAACTAGGGATAATGAGTGAGTTGGAGTGTTCATACCCCAGCTTGCAAGTTAGTGGGACTAAATATGGCACATGTGTCAAGATACAATAACAAGCATTCTAATGGGTTTATTTTTGGATATAGAAGTAACTAGGGATAATGAAGGAGTTTGATCTTTTTCTAGTGGGGATATTAGAAAGCTAAGCTCTTGAAGATTTTTGAATATCATTTAATATTCTTATTCTTATTTGAGTTAATTAACAAAAGAATAATTTGATTTAAGAAGACTGGTGAATAAAAATAGTGGGTTAAAGCTATAAATTAGAGTTTAGTTGTGTAAGTTGTATTATAACATTAGATTAGGCTTACAATGTGTAATGGTACTTTAGGCTTAGCTATAATTCAACTTATTGGCAAACCATAAAACAGGTTAAGTACATTGTTTTCTTAAGTAAATTTGATTGTATCTTCATATTTTAAGGATAAACTTGGTTACTTGACTTTACATCCATTAGTTTAAATTCAGCTTATAGGTTATAAATCAGACGAAGTGCGTTGTGATTTGTATTATTACATAAATATCAAGTAAAGACTTGTTATTTGTCACTATTTAAATGCTAAGCTTAATTACTTTAGTGTGAAGAAAAAGTCATGGAAAAATAATGTAATATATTTAACTCTCAAACGTTAGGCTTAACAGTGTTGTCAATAGGCTTCTGGTATTCAGTGTTGAGTATTTATCCCCAGACTACAAGTAGAAATACATTGGTTAAGACTAGTATTGGAGTTAAGCACTCATTGTTTGTTATATGTGATGGGTGCAATGAGTGGGTCTTATTTTGGAACTGGTATGTACTTTTAAGGAAGCTAGCAGTACTACTTGCTTTACAAAATGATTTAGATCATTTAGTGAGTTGGGCAAATAAATGGCAGATGGGTTTTAATTATAATAAATGCAAGATAATACATGTGGGTTATCATAGTTTGAATTATAAATATAATTTGGATGGGTATAACCTTAACAATGATATGAAGGAAAGGGATCTTGGAGTAGTGGTTGATCAGTCTCTTAAGCCATCCAAGCAGGATTTTGTGGCTAGTGGTAGGTCAAATAGGATTTTAGGTTATATCTACATAAATAATGAATACAAGTCTAAAGAGGTTATAATTTCAGTGTATATATCACTGGTTAGGCCACATTTGGAGTATTGTGTTCAGTCTTGGGCTACGTAGCTTAGGAAAGACATTGAATTGTTGGAAATGGTTCAGAAGAGGGCTACTACAATGGTGCCTGGGATGGAAAGGTTGTCATACAAGGAGAGGTTAAGTTGTTTTCTCTTGAAAAAAAAAGAGTCAGAAGGGATCTGAATGAGATGTTGAATATTATTAATGGAATTGATAGTGTTGATGTATCATCTTTTTCATACTTAATGGTGAGAACAGTAGGACTAGGGGACACAAATAAAAATTTTGGTAGGGTAGGAGTCATTTTCAACTAAGATAGTTTCATTTTTCTAACAGGGTAGTTGGCCTTTGGATGTTGTGGAGGCAGTAAATTTAAGAGAAAGCTTGATAAGTATATGAATGATAATGGCTGGCTTTGAAGTTGTTTTTTTATTGTTTAGTTTAGTGGATGGGACAGCCTAGATGGACCAATAGGACCCTTATTGTCCCTAAATATTATGTTACGTTACTGGGGTCTCTGGGAATCATGACGAAGCCTTTGAACTCCACAACAGATCATGGGTATTTTGTGCACAATAAAAGTCTCCATCTTTACATGTCAAAGCTGTGAATAAGGCATAGTTTGTAATATTTATTACAAATTTGAGTAAAAGAAAAATACTTGTCTCTAAAATTCCAAAAATTGATGGTCTATCATTGAACAAAGTAACATTTCTTAAACTGTTTATGTAAGAAATTGAGTGAAGTTCAATAACAATTTTTCTACTAATAAATGAGTATAACTTAATTTAAGAACTTACAGGAAAGAAATTGCTTTCTTCATCTCCATAAGTACTTTTTACTTCTGTACTTACACCAATAAGAACACATTTTAACTTCTGAACATGTAGCTCATACAGGATATTTCCAAAAATCATAGAATATAAAAAAAAGAACAACTACATTATTTATCTGCAGTAATTTTGTGAAATAACAGCTCATTTGGTACTGATATATGCTGCTGCTGGTAGTCATAAGTTTCAAGCATAACGTGTCAGAATAACCCGCACCTCAGGAAAACATCAACCCACCTGTGAGATGTGAGAATGATAGATCTTCCTCGAGCTATATTTTTTTCGAGAGCATCCCATAAGCACCGTCGTGCTACTGGATCCATCCCTGTTGTTGGCTCGTCCAAGAAAATAATGGGAGGGTCCCCAACAAGTGCAACTGCTGCACTCAACTTTCTCCTGTTGCCACCGCTGTAACAGAAAGTTCTTTTTTTGTATATTCATAATATTCTCATGATAAAAATAAATAAGTTTCATTTGTTTGTTTGTTTGAAGTTAAGCACAAAGCTACACAATGGGCTATCTGTGCTCTGCCCACCACAGGTTTCTAAGCATTGTAAATCTGCAGACATTCTGCTGTGCCATTGGGGGGCAAATAACTTTCAAAACTTCTGATTATGTAAAAGAATTTTTCATACTTTATAATTTTCACATACAACTCTTTGAAACATGTTTAATTTGTTAAATATTTCAAAAACTATAAATTGTTAACAATCCTTATATCCATATTCAAAGCTGTAGTCAACTGTGGTAGTTTTACACAGAACTGAACTATTTTCTACTTTCTCTTAGTGAATTTACATACAAAACCTGTAACAATATGCTACAATCTCTGTGTGAATCTCTACATGAGAATATAATGTTACACAGCCAGTATCTATGTGACAGTATAATGTTACACACCTAGTATTTATGAGACAGTATAGTGTTACACAGCCAGTATTTATGAGACAGTATAATGTTATGCAGCCAGTTCCTAGTTGATTGTAAACTGATACAGTATCACATTCTATGCAAGAGTATAATGTTACACAGTCAGTATCCATGTGACAGTAAAATGTTATACAGTGTCTGTATGCGAGAGTATAAAGTTATACTGTCAGTCTGTATGTGAGAGTATAATGTTATACTGTCAGTCCGTATGTGAGAGTATAATGATATACTGTCAGTCTGTATGTGAGAGTATAATGTTATACTGTCAGTCCGTATGTGAGAGTATTAGGTTATACTGTCAGTCCGTATGTGAGAGTATTAGGTTATACTGTCAATCGGTATGTGAGAGCATAATTTTATACTGTAAAAAAGTTTCACTTGTACAAATTAAATATTGATGACATTAAAAAACAAAACTGCACTGCTTGCACCCATCTGTATCTTTTTGCATTTTTGACTGTATGAAAACTCAAATTCAGGGATATTTGTATCACATTATTCATCATCAGTGTTTTGAATTTACTGAATTATTTGATTTTGTAATTTTTGGACACAAATAGCACAAAAAATACTTTTTTAACTCTTTTAAGATGAACAGAATTGTACAGATTTGTGTGTTTATTGTAATGGAAAATTGTTGTCTACTTAAAAAAGTTTAATACTAAAAAACAAATAGGAAAATAAAAATTGAAATCTGTAAGCAATATGATGTGGTAAGTTTCAAAATTCATTGTATCACACACACAGGAATGTAAAATATCAAATAGTATATAAACCATTAGTGTATAAGTAGCTTTATTAGATAGAACACATACCTGTAGTCCTTCACCCGTTTATCTATATGCATGTTGAAATATAACATGCTACTAAGATGAGTAATATGTTTTGAAATGCTCTCTCTTGGCATGCCTCTTAAATGAGCGAACATTGTCAGAACTTCCTTTCCAGTCATCTGCTCAATCAATGCATCAAATTGAGGACAATATCCAATAAGTTGTTGAACCTGTGGTTGAAAAATAAGATATAAAAATGTATATAAATATATACATGAAGGAATGAAGCTTCATTTATTTGTGAAGTTTGACAACAGTGCAAATTCAAATTATAATGTCACTGGTATTGCATAGGATTTAACTTCTAGAAACAAATTCAAGCATACCTGTCTCACATGTTTCTTAATGCTCAAGTTGTCAATATAAGCATCCCCTGATGAAATGGCCTCATCACCTGTCAACATCTTAAAAGTAGTTGTCTTCCCAGCTCCATTAATTCCCAGCAAGCCAAAGCATTCCCCTCTACGAACTCCAAGTGAGAGGTGGTCAACAGCTAGTAGCCTCTTATAGTACTTTGTGAGGCCTTGGAGAATTAAAATATTGGATTGAAATAAGCTAGAGATAGAGGTCAAGTTTATATGGTCCTTCTCTTTTATGACATCATCATCATCATCAACAGCAGATACTGCTTCCTCTTCATTTATAGTAACAAAATATTTATTTTTGCACTGTACAGCATATCGTAGTGATCGAAATAAATTAATTTCAGCAGCATATACACAGATCCAGAACATGATGGATTGAAGCACAAGAAATGTCAAGTGGCGACCAATGCCAGGGACAGTCCAAGCCAAAAAGTTGGTTTCCCAAGGCAAGCAGACATCACCACATTTGCCTGAAGAACAAATAAACAATTAAAAATCATTCTTTCCAAAGTTTTTCATTCTTGTTTTGTAAATCAGATAAAATCAAACAAAAATAATGTATAATTCTCTTCAGCAACCAGTTAGTAAATTGCTTTTAAACAGTTTCTTTTTTTTCACAATAGTAAAATTATGATTCTATGTAAATTCTACAGTTCTGATAGGAAGTTCTAATGACTGACTTCCAGACAGAGAATGTGGCACAAATACATCATACCATATGGTTATGCCTAGTTCATATCATTTACAATCTTGTACCAGTTTCTTTGGATCAAAACTTGCAAAACTCTACTGTCATAGCTTCCTAACAACTAAATTTATTGTTTTGTCACAGCTATATTGGAAGAAATGCAAACTTACAGTGAGTTACATAACACACTCGGGAAAATACAATATTTTGTTACATAATATACTAGAAACTAGGAAGTATCTTTGAGTTTTGTTTTAAGCTTTTTATGATCTGTACGAATATTTGAAAAGCCTTCTTGGTTGCACAAAAATTAGCAGAATCACAAAATTATCGTTTTGAATTAGTCACAAAAAACCTGCACTTCACAGGTGTGTGTGTATATGAGAACGAATGCTTTAAGTAAAACATGAACATTACTTTCAAATCACTATGAGTCCATTTAGTTTTTTGATGTGTATTTTTAATTAAAAATAATAAATAGTAAATTTAATGAACATGTGATAAACAACTCTACCCAGAATTACAAAAAAATATCTTATTAAGTTCTTAAGATAAAGATTACCATAGAGCCAAGTCAAAAGCTAAAATCTGTCTTAGAAAATATCCAACTGACAATTAAACAGTCTTACTTTACTTTCACTTATTTTTCACACACTGTCCAGCCCAGTGATTCTCAATCTTTTCCAGTAATGTACCCTTAGTTAATTTTCAACATTACCATGCACCCCCAAAGTGGCACCATCACTGTTTGTTTAAGCAAAAATAATATAATAAGTAAAAGAAAAATATCAGAGAATGAAAATTAAATCTTAGATATTAAAATGTAAATATTATAGATTAAAAAATTATTGAAACTAACATAAACTTTTCTTATAATACAAGTCTAGATTGTTTGTTTTATAACTTATGGAAATGTATCTGTTGATAGAAGAAAACTTATCAAATGGTTATGATGTAAAGCGAGATGATAAATAACAGAGTCCAAAATAGTAGTAACCATGAGAAATGGTCAGAATACACAACTCACCTTTACAGCAAGGCTTAACAATATCAAAACCTGGGTTATCTTGAGGAACAAATTTGCAGGCTATTTGAATGAGCTCCCTGTTGCATATTTTATTAAACTGAGAATTCTGGTATAAATTACTGACTGAACGGCCAAGACAGTAATTTGTTAGGAACACGGAGAAAGTCCAATCCAAAGCTTTAGCTACATCAGCTAATTCTAGCTGTGGAATCTCCAAGATACTGACAGCCACAAGACATATAATCCCTGTGAACAGAGACTGATTAAAATGTATAATATTTCAAACATATCTTTTAAAACAAAATTGCTACGGTCTACCTTCATAACAAAAAAATAAATTTTATTGTATAGTTAACTGTTCAAAAACAAATAATGCTGTATGTGGTATCATATTTATTCTTAAAAGATTTAATTTTAATTTCGCATAATACTGATGGCAGTCATACATAGCAAAATTGACTATATTTTTTCCTTTATTTTTTCTCATCAATCTTATCTGGCTTGATACCAAACTTTTGCAAGAAATATTAAAAACCTAATGATTGAACTATACCACACAAATTTGGTACTATATGAAACACAGGTAAAATAATGAACTTTTACACTAAAAATAGCTGTTTACAGAATTGTAAGGTCAAGGCATGATGATAAATTATTTGTTGTGATATAATACAAACATTTAAAATATGTTCACCAGTATTTCTTTACTTTGTTAAGCTTATCAAACACACTTACTGTATAAAACAAGCAATCCAAAAAATTGGAAACTTTTCTAATTCATTTCAAAATAAGTTTAATTCATGTAATATAAATTCTTTACACTCTAATTGTAAATATATATATATATATATATATATATCATGTTAAATCTTTAACATAAGGTAAAACAAGAAACAGGACCCTCTTAAACTTTTTACAGGCTTTTACAGATCTTTAAAAAACTCAAAATATAATACATGAAACAGAATAATATCTTAAGATTCCCTAATTTTTCACTTGCTTCTACAGATCTTTAAAAAACTCAAAATATAAAACATGAAATAGAATCCTGTCTAAAGTTTTCCTAATTTTTCACTTGCTTTTACAAATCTTTATAAAACTCAAAATATAAAAACATGAAACAGAATCACATCTAAAGTTTTCCTAATTTTCATTTGCTTTTACAGATCTTTAAAAAAACTGATAAAAAATTAAGGACTCTCGCTCTTCAAGTTTTCAAAATTTTAAAAATGAATTATATGCAGCACATTCAATTCTTAGCTAAAATGTCATGATATAAATGAAGTTAAGAAAAAAAAGCATTAAGGCATTTTTGAATGCTTTGTTCACGATATAATGAAATGATCAGATATACCTGTGTACATAATAAAAAAATATATATACAGACTTTATGGGAGTTCGATCATGTATCCCAAGGCAAGTGTGATGCAATCATACCCTCAAGTTGTTTTAATATCTTAATATCTTAATATATATAATATCTTATATATATATATATATATATATATATAAGTACTCTACATACATACAGTAGACGACGAGTATACAACCTA